CATGATTATATCTACTGCCTCATCTTGATTTATAAGCAAACCTGGGAAATCTACAAAAATAAGTGTTTTGTGGTTTATCTAGAAAGAATTCAGAAATTATTACTGTTATTTTTGGTGAAGAAAATCAATTTTGTACAGTTTATTTCAATCTGAATAAAATGTGAATTTTGTTTAAAGTTGAGATGCATTATTCTTGGTGAGGATAAAACATATTTTTATGGTAAAGTCTCCTGAAAATATTTACCAGCCTGACAGTTTTGAAGCTGAAGTTCCTTTTTAAACATTTTATTGTGTTTTAGATGAAAGTTTACACTGCAAATTTATTTTCCTTTCAACAGTTTATAAAAAAAATTGTTCTGTAACATAGGTTACAATATATCAATAATTTTCCCCATTTCTGTTTCCATCCTTCTGGGTTCCCTGCCCTTCCTTGCCCTTTTTTAAAAAAATTAATTGTAATGAACGTTTACAGAGATTTTGGATTTCCATTCATTCATTGTTGCATTTTTCTCCCTGCCCACCCCTCCCTCCCAGTTCTCTCTTCTCTTTGAAAAGTAAAAGAAAAATTCTTTCATTGGTATATAATCCCCCCATCTCCCCCAGTACACTCCACTTTGAACAAATGTTGCCCATTTTGTCTTATTCTAAGGAGCACACTCCTTAGGGATGTTAATTTCTTTTCTATTCCAATCTATTCCTGGAGTGACTTCATTCTAGGTGTAAAGAGTGTCTTAAGGTACTAGTCTCAGGGGTTCCTTTAGTTGATATAGGTCCAATAAGTCTAGTCTTTTTTTTAAAATGAATTTTAATATTTTCTACCAGTTTCTCGCACTCTATCCAGGACCTTCTATTGTGATAACAAGACATTAGTGATAGCATCCTCTCCTCCTAGTCTCCACTGTTGGAGGCTGGGATTAAATGGGCCATTCTTTTGCACTAATTTCTCCCTTGAATCTTTATTTTTATCATTCTTCTTTGTTATGAACAAGAAGACACTAGTAGTTGTGTTTCAGATGGCTACTCAGAAGAATTCACGACCCCAGTCACTGCTCACCAAAGTAGATTATAAAGCATTGTCTTTATAAACTTAAGTTAGTTGACCTATAGATCTCCCAAGACTATGGTCCTAAGCTCTTTCGCCCTTTGACTTGGTCACTTGAGATGTTTGGTTATGACTACAAAACTTGCCTATCTTTGGCCCATGTATGCTCTACCATATACTTGGATATACTTGGCAGAATAAACCAAGGTATGTAGATATATCCACTTCCGAGTCTATATGTGTTCATGAGTACACTCACATATGCAGTTCTATACTTTTTCAGCTTACAAATCTACCTAAGTATCTATTTGTAAATTTTGGTTTTTATTGAAAGATTATGTATGCAATAGCATACAGATGTAAAGGTATGGAGAAAGAATACAACCTTGACACACTTCCTTCTTAATTTTAAACCATGCAGTGTTCCTTGGCTCTGTTGGCACAGTAGCCACCTGGGGTAGGTAGGTTTCACATGAGCGAACAAAGTGCTCTGAGATTCCCATTCTTCTCAGTGTCAGCCACAACTTGTTATGATCTACACAGTCAAACGTGCCTATGCATAGTCAGTAAAGCACAAATAGACATTCTGATATTCTTTCAGCCAGCA